ACAGAAACCATGATGCAAAATTTATTTCATGCTAGAATCGCTTTGCATAACATTGGGCATGCAGGTTTTTACTCGGAAGTACTAAATTGCATACAATGCCAGGTTGTGCCTTAGTAAGGTGGAGGAGGGCGCTCCTCCCGGGGTCCTGATCTTTTGCTGCTCTACAGCCTGGTTTGAAAGTAACACTTGGAAAATCCACACGGTGGGGATGATTTACTATGAACGAGTAGTCATGGAAGCTGGTCACACGCAGCTACACACCGGTAAGATGAGAGAAATCGACCTAGGCTAGCCGCTGTCAGGGGTCTCGGGGAGGCGTCCGCTGGGTGGTGAGCGTGGCAGACCGAGAGGGAGGGAGGCGGCAGTGCGGGCTTCCACAATTCTACTCGGAGCAAAGTTCTCGGTTTCCACGGGAGAGATGAACTATGGAGGTGAGGTCAATATGACCAATGACTGACCGACTGCCCTCTCTGGAACCTTGGCTCTCCAGCATGTGTACAAAAGGAGAAGCGATCGTCCCTCTTCCCCGCCCCTCCTCCCTCGCCCCTGCCCCCCCGGGAATGTACAGGATTCTACGGAACGCCGTTACAGTTTGGCTCCAACAACGTGTGTGAAAGTAAAAGAGTTTTCAAAGAAAATCGAGGACTTTTGCCTTCCCGTTCTTGTTGTCATTTAGGGTGAGCATACAGTTGCGGGGGGGTGGTGGGTTTGGTTTGGCTGGGTTTTCTGTTGAACTTCATGCAAGTCATGCTAAGGAACCCCTCCACCTCCCCCTCCCCAAATAAAAGAAAAGGTTTAAAAATGAAAAGAAGGAAAAGAAATCCTCTACGGTCAGTTACCATTTGGCCGTAGAAAAAGCTACGTCCGTCCTAGTACAGGGCCTGGGCCACTCACTCGGACTCGTCCGGCAAAACTGCATGGCGTGAATTTACTCTGTCCGAGGGTGAGGAGGGGCTGCAGGTCCACCCAGATGCTTAATAGCCACCAGTGTCCTCGGCCAAGCCGCCTGGTCAAGTCACTCTCACAGCCTCTGTCGGCATATACTTAGCAATGACAGGGCTTTCTTTGCAAAGATCTGTATGTAAAGAATACAATTAACACTTGAGCTTCTCTTCTCGGCTTTCCCGTCCCGCTTGGTACTTAGTTTTTTAAGGAAGGAGGAGGAAAGACAGAACAGCCGCATGCAGAGGCAGGCAGAGTCTTCTCCAGCTGGCTTGGGTTTCCCATGCAGTGAGCCAGCTTCGCAGCCTTTCTCTCCCTCCTGGAGGGGGGTGGGGGGGAACAGGTCGCGTCCCTAACTCTTCTCCTACTCTGCACATGAACTCAAACGCCTGCAGTGACTTAGGAGACAGGCACGCCCTCGGCCACCGTGGTGACCCCGTGGGAGTGCCGGCCAAGTGGATGTGGGTGGGGGGGCTTCACCCTCGGCACCTGCTAAAGACTGGCGCTGAAGCCCTGCGGGACTGCGGTGGGGGTGTCACCTGTGGACAGTGCCGCCGCTGGGTCCCCTAGCCACTACAGGGAGATGCGGCTGCTTCCGTCCCACATTCTCTGGGCTTCTGGAAGCAAAGGAAAAAAAAAAAAAGACCCTCCTGCTTGCTGTTTGGGGCTGCACCTAGTAACCCAACATTCTGAAGGAAAAAGACAGGCTGCCGTGAGACCTCCCTGGGCAGGGCTGGGCCACGGGGAATGGTCTACCTGCTTCGCACTCCCACCCCAGCGCTGCCCCTGTTCCCCGGCAGGCCAGAGCCTCCCCTGGGGAAAGCCAGTCGCCAACGGGAGCATCAGGCCCATCCGTGGGGGGTGCCAAGGCGCCTCCCCAAGGCCGGCAGCCCTCCTTCGTGCAGCTCCATGCGGGGCATGGCTCACTGTGCACTGGGGGTCCAAGGGACCTCGTGGCAGGGCAGAGAAGCAGGGATCAGCCTAGATGAGGGGCGCCTAGCTAAGCACTGGTGACCTGAGGACTGTCCCTCGTCTCGGTGTAGGCTGCCTCTCCTCTGCTGGGTTTGCCTTGGTTGGATTCCCTGTCTCCTCCCTTCTGCATGGTTTAACCACTTCAGCGCTAGAGCAGTTCTGAATGGCCACAGACTCCACCAGCTATGGCTCCTTTAACACCCCCAGCCACTCGCTTGACCCAGCCTGCTCACCCAGGTCAGCATGCATCCGTGTAAGTTGCTCCAAGACATGCATGAGCCGCCCAGCCAGTCTGTGCACCGGGAAGGCTGCCTCTGCCTTCCCAGCCCAGGGCAGTGCCTGGAGCCTCAAGCGAGGCTGTTCTGGGCCCCACCCCAAGCCTCTCCTCAGCCCAAGCTCAAGCTCTCCTAGAAGCCTCTCTCCAGCCAAGTCAGCCCTAAGTTCTGACTGTAAGGCCACCTTGAGCAGAGAGGCCACCACTTGTCTCAGCCTTCGTCAGCCACAAGGGGGCGCTGACTGCACCCAGGGCAGTGGCCAGTGGGCACCAGGCATGGAAGAGGCGGCATACAATGCTGCCTGCCACCAGCAGTGTTCTGACTGGCACACTCTTTCCCTCTGCAACGGCGGTGGCCTTTCCCCTAAGCCCTGGAGCCAGCTCTCCCTTCATGCCTCCCTCCCACTGGCCTCATAAAGGATGCCTCTTCTTGAACAAGGACCTCCGTTAGCTCAGCTTACATGGCCTTGGGCAGGCCAGGCCCAGCCCTCTGCCCTCCCCAAGCAAGGGAGAGGAGAGATCACTGAGCTTTGTGGACCTTCCCTGCCATCTTCCGGAGCAGCCTTGGGGGGAGTCAAGGCTCCCCCTATACCCAAGGGCCCCCTCCCCTGCCTTAGGGCCATAGCATGAGGTCAGCCAGCCGCCTGCCAAGCCCCTGTATCTTGCCCTTAGCTCAGTCCCAGCCCACAGCTGCCCGGGCCTCAGGTTCCGTCAGCCAGCCTGACATCCCACTGCGGGGACGGGATATGGACCCCCAGGGGCTGCCCCCCTCAGCGGGCCTGCCTGCCCCTCACCCGCCGCCCTGCCCACCCATCTGCAGGAGCGCGAGGCGGGCCCGGCTGATGCACAGTGCTCCAGCTTCCTCTACATACCCTTTCTCATTCCTCCACCAGGCGGGCACGCGTACTCCCCGGTTGATAAGAGGAAGCAGGGTCCGTATCTCTCGCGGGTGCCCGAGCGCGTAAAAGGCAGGCCCTCATCAGGAGTGAGAGCCTGGTCTATGTGGGGGCAGTCTTCGTTCGCCAGCGCGGCCTTCGCCACCTCCCCATTCAGTTTGGAATCTTCAAACATATAAGCAGAAGCTATTGAGACACTGAAAACTGTTTAGTTGTTGGGGGGGGGGAGGGAGGGGACAGGCCAGAGACAGGGCATTAGCACAAGGGAGCCATGGAGGAGGGTGTGAGACTTGGGAGGTGGGGCTTGGTTCATCCGGGCAGCCTGGGGGCTACCCACAGTGCCGGGGTTGGGGTGGGGTGGGGTGGGGGCACTCCTGGGTTTGCTCAAAGTTTGCAAAAAGATGAGTGGGTGATGGGCCAGCGGGTGCAGTGCTGCAGGCTGGGCCCAGGGCCTAAGGCGGGGCCGATGAGACAGGATGGTGTGGATGCCGTCATGGGGAGGGGGCCAGACACAGAGCTCGGGGAGAAGACAGACAGACACGCGGAGCACTCCAGGCCAGAGAGGTGGCCTTTGCAGACCCCTCTGCTGCTGACCAGAGCCCGTCTGCCTCACATCCGCACCCAGCCACTTGTGCAGGCTTCCTTAGCTGCATTCAAACACTGACCAACTCCACTCCACTTCCGGTTGGACCCCATCTGACCACTGGGTGGTTTATCCTGTCCCCACCCCCCCCACCCCGCCACACACACACACACACACACACACACGCCATCAGTCACTCAGCCTGCCCCACTCCCACCACTGCATCGTGGCCACTCTGATGTGCTGCCTCTTGTACAGACCAGGACTGCCAGGCAGTCTCTATCCTCATATGGACCCAGTGTGGCCCCTCTGCTGCTCTGTCCCTGGTATCCTTCACTCTGTCCCCCATTCACACTCAGCCTCGTCACTGAGCCTACCCTGTCCCAGAGGGACCCTATCTGGTCACTGTCATGTTCTGTCTCCTGTGTAGACCAGGCCTGCTCATGCGGTCTACTCTGTCCCCATAAGGACCCGATCTGGCCACTCTGATGCCCTGCCCACTTGTACACACGGCCACGCAGCGGTCTCTGTCCCGATGCAGATCCCACCTGCCCAGCGCATCTGCTCCATTCTCCACGCAGACCCACGCTGCCCACTCAGTCTGCTCTGCTCCCCGCCCCCGGGCTGTCCCCAGCAGGCTTGGTCAGCGTGTACAGGCACAACAGGGATGTATGCATGACGCTGTGACGGCGGGACATGGACGTGGGAGGGACTCCCGTTCCTCTGTCTCCTCTCGCCAGTGTCCCCAGCAAAGCAGAGCAAATGGAGGTGTAGAAGACAACAGCGGCTGATGGACTGGGGCGGGGGAGATTCGGGTCTCTTCCTCTGCGGTAGCCTGAGAAGGAACCGGGAGAAGGCGTGGCAGCAAAGCATGGCCAGAGCGAGGAGCCCCGTCTCTCCCGGCTCCGGGGAGCCCAGCTGCCTTTCCCAGGCAGCTCGGACTGGTCTCTGCCCCTGCCCCGTCACTCTTGGGGACTGAGCCTCTCCCCGCTCTCTGCCCTCAAAGCAGACCCTTTCTTCCCCAGGTGGAGCCAACTCTGAAAGTGGATCAAGGGCGACAGCCTCAAGGGCAACCCCTTTTGTGGAGGAAAGAGACCAACGTGGGCAAGACCACATTAGGGGAGGCTCCCTGACAGCTTTCGAGGGTGATGGGGGGGAGAAGCCTGGGGACAGTTTCCACCCCGTGTGACGCTCTCCCGTGATCCTGTTCACATCATGTAACTACACGCAGAAGTGATCCTTCCCCGCGTGCACACACTCGGCGTGCACGTGGGCGGGATCACCACCCGTGTGCACATCATGTCACTACAAAGAGGCAGTCAGTCAAAAGAGAAATGGACCAATCAGGTTTATTCATAAAGCAAATCCAAAAAAAAATCCCATCATAATTTTGGAACTTAAAAAAAAAAGTCTCTCGTACAAGGTGGCAAAGCATTTCATGTACAGTGCATTTCTTGACAAATCCCAGGGGCTTCGCTCCCCGACTGATTCTCCACCAGAAAGGCCAGTAACTTGGACACCATGGGACTGGGACTGGGGCCTCTCTGGGGTTCTGGAGCTGCCTAGCACCTAGGGGCGTGTCTGCGGGCACACAAGTGTGCTCCCAGACACGCCCGTCCTGCCTCCCACTCTGTTCAGCCCCTGTCTGCCTTCCCAGAGCTCTCTGGGCTGAAGGAGGAGGGTCCTGGGGAGGGAGAGTGTGGAAGCGGGGGGCCTGCAGTGCCTGTATGAGCTTTCCCAGGCGGCAGCCGGCTGGGAGATGGGTGAGCACTTGCTGTCTCTCTGCTGGCCACCGCCCATCAGGGGTGTGGAATCTGCAGCCTGTGGTTCTTGCCCAGGGGAGGGTCAAAGGTGGGTGCTCCCTCTCTGCCTCGGCCTCCAGAGAGGGTGCAGCCTGAGGTCCCTCCTCTGGCTCTGAGTCGCCGCCCCCTGGCTCTGCCCACCAGCCCTCCCTATCCTGGGGGCTCCCGGCTCCCACAACCTTCAAAGGGCCCCAAGTTTAGCACAGGCATTCCCTGCAGAGGCAGGAGGCAAGGAGTAGCCATCAGGGATCTCCCACTGGTCGGGGGTGGGGAGGGAATGGGAGCCAGGCACCCCACCCTCCCTGGGGGGGCATTCCCAGGATACTCCCCAAGCCTGCTTCTTCTCTTGACCTTGGCGGAGGGGGCGGTGATTGGGTGGGGGTGTTTAAGTCTCGCTTTGTGAATAAGCCCGGCCTCCTCGGGCTCTTGGTTTATCTGTGGTATGGGAAGCTCTCAGAATCCAGAGGGGCAGCTGCAAGAGAGACAAACCAAAGAAGGCCAACTGTCTGCATCCGAGGAAGCTGTGCAAAGGGCCAGGGGTAGACACTCACCCATCCCCGCACCCTCTTGCCCTGGCCCGGCCTTCGGATGAGATGGCAGCTAGGCGCCTTGGTTCCCACCTGCTCTCCAGAAGCCTGGGGGCCCTGCCTCACCTGGCCCAGGGCCCCCAGGCCTCCCCTAGCCCCACAGGCCTGCGATGGTGAAATGGCAGCATGGGCAGCGTCTCGGAGATGGTTTCCAGGCTCTGAAATGGCTGAGATGAGCGTCCGAAAGGAGGGGGTCATTTTTTTTTAAACTTTGGAGCAAGGAGACCCCACGTGGCCAGGCCCTCAGCCAGCAGGGCTGGCTTCTCTGCCCCCCCCGTCTCCAGGCACCACCGACGAGGTACTTACTGTTCACACCAGCAGCGGGCGCCACGGGGCGCACGCAGGGCTGGGGTGGGGTGGGGGGTGGATGGGCATTTCCTTGGGTTAAATCCCAAGAGATCTGCCCAGCTGGGGACTCAGAGAAAAACGTCCCGGGTTAAATGGGGACAGTCTGGGAGAGACACAACCACGAGAACCGGCACGAGTCACGCAACAAAACGAGGAGGGAGAGAGAGGAGAGAGAAACATGATTAGTGGAGAGAGAGAGAAAGTGAGAATGCGAACAACACGGAAAAGAACACCCATGCCTGGCCCTCTGAGTCTGCTGCTTCCCCCTCAGCTCACCTGGGGGCAGCGAGGACCCCACTCAGGGTCCCAGCCGCCAATACCACGGCTGCTCTGCTCCGCTCGCTGCAACTCTACAGCCCCGCCCCCTGCGACTTCCCTGCTGCTGCCAGGGAGAACCGCCCCACCCCGCCCCCAAAGCTGAGACCGCGGTGGTGGCTCCCTGGGGGAGCAGCTTCTATGGGATGTTCTATGGCTGCCCCACCGTGCCCACGGGCAGGAAGGGAGTCTGGCCGCCAGCCCCCCAATCTCCACTCGGCCGCCACCTCCCGCTCACCTACGATGAGCCCCTGCAGCCCTGAACACGGCACCACAAAGGACCAACCCACATCACAGGAGCAGAGATGGACGAGACACATGGATGGACATGGCAGGACAGGGGAAGCTCCGGGCGGCCGCAGAGGTAGGGGAGGAGGTCCCTTCAGGAAACAAGCCGCTTGCTTTCCCTGCTTTCCCCAGGGCCGCAGCCCCAGGCAGTCCCTGGCTGTGCCAGGTGAGAATTACACCCTCAACCCCCACCCCCCCGACTCACACACAAGATCTCAAACACAGGACAGAGCAGCCGCGGATCGTCCTGGGGACAGACACACACAGAGACCTCAGGAGTGACCCAGGCTGGAGCTGAGAGGGAGGTGCTGCTGGCGAGACCAGGAGGCCTGCCTCAGTCCTGCTGCCTGGCCTGGGGCGGTGTGGGGCTGGGATGCCCTCAGGGCTCAGATGGCTGCACTTGACCCCTACCCAGGTCGGAAAGGTGAAATCAGAGAATCTCAGAGGGCAAGGCTGCTTGGCTGTTCTCAGTGTGCAGTGAGGCTAGAAGACACTTGAGGGGAGGGGGCTGCATCTCACCTCCCCCATTTCCTGTAGGTCTGGGGTCTACCCTCATGTTTGCCAGCCTTGCAAAGGCCTTCCCCTCACTCTCTCACAAACTCGCCCTCAAGCCCTTGCCCAGGAAGGGCATAGCTACAAGAAGAAAGGAAGTGCAGGGGAAGGGACCCAGCGGTGTGGAGGTGGGGGCGGGGGACACCCCTGTGGGCCACACCTCCTCTCGGTGGTGGATCCTCAGAGTCTCAGGCCAGCAGGTGGAAGCAGGAGTGCTCTGTGAGGGATGGGACTCAGACTAGCCGGGGGTCTCAGAGCTGGGGGGAGGGGGCAGGTGTGGACATCAGGACGGCACCAACGCCACCAGGGGAAGTGAGTGTCTGAGCAGGAGGCCCTGGACATCCAGGCTCCTCGGTCCTGGAGATCGTTCAAGCCAGTGCTCTCTGGGTCCCTGAAACCTGGAGCCGGGGCAGGGCGGCCCTGGGCACGGGGCTGCCGAGGCGGGGAAGGAGCAGTGGGACCTGGGGCGATGCAGTGCCTTGGTGTGGTTGCTGCTGCTGGTGTCCCCGTGACGGGCTGCTGTGCATGTCGGAACACGTTCCTGTTGTATGTGTGCACGTGTGTGTCCCTCCTCAGGACATGGATAAACACTGCCCTTGCCTGGGAGTACAGAGGAATCTGCCTGCCCGGAGTGAACTGGGGAGCCGTGATGCGCTAGCCTGGAGCACCCATGCTTGGGGCCCCAGTACTGAAAGCTCCAGTGTTGGGGAGGACGTGTTGGAAGGGTCAAGGACAGCCATAGTGACGCCTGCCAGGCCGCGTTCTTCCTGCTGCAGCTCAGTGGAGCCAGCCCAGACCTGCCCCAGAGCCCCAGGAACCTTCCTTGGCCTGATGGTGGCTCCTGAGGTCAATGTTAGCTAAGCCCCAGCGCAGAGGTGGCCAGGGCTCTCCCCAGACACTGCCCCGCGGTGCCCGCCACCCAGCTCAGCACATGAACCACACTCTTCTCAGGTGCCTTCAGCAATCCCAGCAAGGGGAGAGTAGGGAGCGGGGTGTACGGGCTGTAAAGTCCCCAGGGCAGAGAAGGGGCTTCGAGGGCACTGCACTGGCCACAGCGGGGCGGGGCGGGGCGGGTCAGAGGGAGTTCCTCAGCAGGGAGGGAGGTCACTGGGGGAGGCCGCTCTAGCAGGGGTGGGGGAGAGTCCATACTGGGAGCTGCACTGGCTTGCAGCCCCGGGGGCCAGACCCAGGCAGGCACGGAGCCGTCCTTGGCGGACTCCGAGCTACAGGGTCTCTCACGTCAGTCTCCCGCTCCCCTGTGCCTCTTCTCAGCTCAGTGCCATCCTTCTTCTCCGGGTCATCCGTCCCACTGAGTTGCCTATGTCCACAGAATAAGGTGATGGCATTCCATGGGTAGAGGTAGACTACGGGCTTTTTTATCTTCGGACCAGAGCCCCATGATCAACTTTATGTGCTATGTGCAGGTTCTCATAAAACTGAGAGAGTCCCATAACGAACCACTAGCCATGGAATATTAGAATATATCCCACGGAGACTAGTATTGTCGCGCGCCCGCCGCCCAGGGAGTGCACGGGAAGGTGACTACACCGGTGGGGATGTCCTGTATTGCTGCTGCAGTCCCTACTGCCGGGGTGGGGGAGGGGCCTCGGTGGCGGGGAGGGGCGGCTGCCGGTCTGGAGCGCTGTCACCTAGCTCCCCTCTGGTCCGCTGCTCACCAGCCGCTTCCATCAGGAGGTCACCGGACACGCCCACTCGACCATCAACCCAGCCAGACACCGCGAAAGCCAGAGTCACTCCAACAGGTTCCTAAAGATAAACGCTAAACTCTAGGGTGGTGGTGGAAGATGAGTTGGTTCGGCATGCTATGGGGTAAGTGCTCGGCACGGAGGGCTCGAGGCGGCTCCCGGGGCGGGCCCCGGGGCTCGGCAGCCGGAAGTCGGAGCAGGAGGTCTGCGCAGCCGCTGCGGAGACGGACTCTGCTGGGAGCGGGGGTGGGGGCGAGAATCCTCGCTACGGCCCCCGCAGGGCCCCTCCTGCCCGGAGGCCACGCACCGCGTCCGCCGTGCACGCGGCCCGAAGGCAGCCTCGCTAAGGACCGGAGCAAGGAGCTGTCCGGCATTCCCCAACCGCACCCGCCCCGCCCCAGCACGGGCTCAGTCGCTGAGTCGGAGACTCGCGCCCGGCCTCTGCCCACCCCGGCAGCAGCCGCCCGGCTCCTGATGCTGCGAGAGTCCCCGGCAGCCTCCCGGCCGCGCCGTCCCTTCCGCTCGGCCCGAGCCCCAGCGGCCGCAGCCTCCTCCCCCGGGGCCGGCAGGCAGGGCTCCTCCAGCAGGCGCTCTCGGCCCTCTGACTCTGGCTGCCCAGCAGCGCCCTGGGCCCCCCCAGGCTCCACACCTCGAGACTGGGTGCGGGGTCCGGGCTGGCCCACGGGACTAAGGAAGCAGTCTGACCGAATCTGGAATCATCGCTACCGGGAGGGCGGAGGTGAAAGGTCAGATCGACATGCCTCTAAGAGGTTTCCTACCTGCTCTGTTAATTTCTAAAATCTCTTCCTGGGCCAGCGGGCATGTGTCACTCTGAGTACTGTGGTGTGGAGAGTTTACGACAGATTTACAATAATTGGGAGATCCCAGCTGCGGCGGCCGCGGAATATGCTTCTTTTTTTTCTTTGGTAGTTTCTGCTTAGCCATGGCTAAGGAGTAGTACATCCCGAAATTGTTCACGATGACCGGCACGGGCATGGCGATGGTGAGCACGCCCGCCAGCGCGCACAGCGCCCCCACCAGCATGCCGGACCACGTCTGCGGGTACATGTCCCCGTAGCCCAGCGTCGTCATGGTGACCACGGCCCACCAGAAGCCGATGGGGATGTTCTTAAAGTGCGTGTGCTCGCTGGCGCTCGGGTCGTTGGGCTGCGCGCCTATCCTCTCGGCGTAGTAGATCATGGTGGCGAAGATGAGCACGCCCAGGGCCAGGAAGATGATGAGCAGCAGGAACTCGTTGGTGCTGGCGCGCAGCGTGTGGCCGAGCACCCGCAGCCCCACGAAGTGGCGGGTCAGCTTGAAGATGCGCAGGATGCGCACGAAGCGCACGACGCGCAGGAAGCCCAGCACGTCCTTGGCGGCCTTGGAGGAGAGGCCGCTCAGCCCCACCTCCAGGTAGAAGGGCAGGATGGCCACGAAGTCGATGATGTTGAGCGAGTTCTTGATGAACTCGACCTTGTTGGGGCAGAAGACGACGCGCATGAGGAACTCGAAGGTGAACCACACCACGCACACGCCCTCGATGTAGGTGAGGAAGGCCTCCGTCTCCGCCTCCCGGTAGTAGCGCACTTGCGTGCCGTTCCGAACATTCTCTATCTCCGTCTTGTTTACGATGGGGTTGAAGCGCTCGTGGGTCTCCAGGCAGAAGGTGGTGATGGAGACCAGGATGAAGAAGAGAGAGGCAAAGGCCACGTACTGCCGGAGGGGGAGGGGAGGGGAGGAGGGGAGAAAGACAGTGTCAGAGCGAGGCCTCGCCGCCCAGGATGTGGGTCTACTCAGGGTGCTGTGCCGGGGGAAGGCGTGTGTACAGGACCCCCTCCTCGGGGCGAGGACGGCCTGCGCTGCTGCCGGGCTGGGCTCACCAGACCGCCCGCCGCCATCTTGCCTTCCTCTCCTTGGTAAATGCTAAAGCCTCCCTGGAAAGGAAGGGGCCCACTCAGTGCCTCACTGAACTTCTACCTGAGTGAGAGGCCCCTGCGGCGGCTGAAGTGTGCAAGGAACTGAGAGCGGCCAGCCTGAGCGGATCAGGCCCTCAGGGAGCGCATCGCCTGCCTGCCAGAGCCACTGTCACGTCAAGGACTGCGGGGCGGTGGGAGAAGGCTCCCTGCCTCCAGGGACTGCGGGCCTCTGCGCTGAGGGCGTTCCCCCGGCCCTTGGGGGCGTCTGGGGACAGCCTGGTAGAACCACAGAGCCGGCACCCAACCTCGCAGGGATCTGTGAACCAGGAACTCCGCGGGCTTTGAAACGGTATTCCAGGTTGGAGGAAGAGGCCAGGTTGGCGTTTCAGAATGGCAGCCAGAGAGCGCCCTGCAGAGATGACCTGGGCCAAGGCACCGCATTGCTCTCCCAGGGAAGCCCGAGGCCCAGGACGGGCCGAGAGGAAGAGGGCTGCCCATCTCTCATCACAGGATGGTGACGGTCCGGTTGGCACTGGAGCACTGTGGGAGTTTCTGGAAGCTGAGTGCATCGTTCTTGCCATTCGCCCACCCCTCATTTCACTCAGCTGTCCACCGTCATCCTCCTTTCCTCTCCCCTTCCCTCCTCTCTCTTCCACCCAGTCATCCGTATTTTCATTCATACGCCTGTCCACCACTCACCCTTCCCTCCATCTCCCTCCCTCCCCGCCTATCCACCCTTCCATATCTCAGCGTTCCCCTTAGCTCCTCCCCTTCCTCTACTCTGTTCCTTCCACCTGTCGGTCTTCTTCCCTTTCCCCCTGTGTTATCTCTCCTGCCCTCCCTTCCCCCTTCCATCATCCACCTGTCACCCAGCCGGCCAGCTACTCGTGGAGTCGCGCATCTATCCTCTCCTCCTTCCACTCCTCAGCAGGCACGAGCTTATACCCCCAGGGACCCCCTGGCTGGCTAAGGGAGAAGGACACACACAGGGACAGAGACAGTGCCATGGACTGACGAGCTGAGCTCCCTCAACCCTCTGAAGTAGTGGGATTGGGAAAGCGTGCGCCTGGGAGAGAGGCACCCTGGGAACTTTAAGCCAGGCCTTCCGCAGCCAGAAGGCTCTTCTTTCAGGGCCCACCCAGCTCAGAACCAGGGCACCACAGAGGAAGGCCGGGAAAGCCACGTGGGAGGAACTGGAGGAGGCTACCACCGCTGACCCAAGTCCACCTTGCTCCAGAGCTCTTTCCATCACCAAGGTCGCCTGAGTTCTTAGAGCTAAGAAATGCACCCTTGCCTTCGAGTTCTGATTCCCTCGGGGGGGGGGGGGGCACAGGGGAGGATCTTGGAGCTTGGTTCACAGCTCAGATTTCCCAAAGGCAGGTCAGGCCATCCCCAGCCACGCCCCGTGCCCTGGCCTTAGTGTCAGAGGAGAGGGACACACACACTATGGGTGTCTAGGGGATGCCAAGAGGCAGGGCCCACTGCCCCATCAGCCTGGACATCCCCCCTCCTAAAACCTCCACATCCACCCTCCTCTCTCTCAGCTGGGCTACTCCAAGTTTTAGGCTTTGGTCTCGGCCACCAGCCCACCCTCCACACAGCTGCCAGAGGGAGCTGCCCTAAGGAATTCAGCTCTGCCCATGCTGCCCTGAGAGCAAAGCCTAACCCCTCAGCCTGGCAACAAGACTCTCCATCCCCTGGCCTCCCTGGACTCCTGGGTGTCCTCTCCCTACACATACCCTGCATTCTTACCGCGTGCAACACTGCTATTCTGACCAGGGTGTCTCCCCGGTCTCCATGGCTTTGCACCTGCTACCCCTTCCACCCGAGAGTCTTCCTGCCAGTCTTGTCTGGAAAAATCCCATTCATCTTCCACTGCCCGCTCAGCAGACCTTCCCTTGGGGTGAGGCTCCACGTGGCAGCTGCGGAGCCCCTAGGAGGCAGCAAGTGAAGGGATCCGCCCACCCCCCCACCACCAAGGAATCTCTACATCCATCTCCAGGGAGGCAGCAGATCTGTTTCCAACTCTGGCTCATTAGTGCTGGGGGAGGCCCATGGGAATAGCCATACAGGGCACTGACACCCAGGAGTCTACTCCCAGGGGCTCCCCCAGGCTCTATGAGCTCTCCTCTCATTTGCCGCTGTCACAGTACAGATCCTGGTGGGCAAGTGGGGCCCCAGCAAGAGGGTAGGCCTTATCAGGTTACAGTAGAAAAATCCTTGGTTCTTGCGGGTCAATGGACAGCCTTCTAGAGTCTTTCCCTCGGGACCCCGGTGCCATGGAGTGAGAGAGAGCGGGTGGCAAAAGCCAGGTCTAGAGCCAGACATGAACCTGGGGTGGGACCTGGGCCTTCTCAGCCTCTGCTGCTGTAAGCGCTGCTCTTCCCTCTGTCATAAGCACAGCCCCAGGAATGTCCAGGTGCAGGGGACACGTGGAGGGCTACAGACCCTGCCCCTCTCCTCACCTGGAGACCAGCGGGAGGTCACCCAAGGGCCTGGCTCCCTCCCGTCCATCCTCCAGGGCCAGCCAAACACAGGAAGAAGAGAGGAAGAAGCTACCGAAGGTTGAGGACCTGCTAGGGGCCTTTACTCCTTGCACCCAGCTGGCAAGGCAGGTGGTCACGTCCCCATTGCATCCAGAAGGAAACCCAGATGCAGATGGACCCCAGGAGCAGGCCAAGGTTTACCAGCCAGTGAGGAAGCTGGGACAGGGACCCGAGATCACTGAGGTCTAGAACCTGGACTCTTCCCACCACTGAGTCGCCAGAGTTCTAGGAGCTGAAATCACAGCGCTGCTCACTGGGCAGAGGGCTCTGACTCTGTCTGAATGATTCCATCCCGGAGCTTGGCACCCACAGCCCAGACTCCATTAAAGAGGAGGTTCTGTCCATCCCCAGTGATGAAGGAGCAGGGTACCGGATCCACTGGCTGGAGCCCGGCCATGCTGGAGAAGTTCTTAGGCCTCACTGCCCAGGACTTGCCAACACGGGGCTGGAGCAGCCCCTCGAGGGGGGATGTTGCACCTGCTGTGCTCAGGGAATTATCGCCAGCTGCAGCCTTGGCCTGCCACCTTGCTCAGCCAGAGGGAGGGCGTGAGGGATGGGGAGGTCCTGGGTCAGCTGACCGGGCAGGGAGTGAACCTCTACTGGAAGGGCCAGGGCAGCACGCCTTGGAATGACCGCTGCAGCAACCCTGGCTGTCACCTCCAGGACTGTGGGGGAGGAGGGGGTCACAGGCAAGGACCAAAGCTCTGCCTTCCAATCCCCCATCATCCAGAGCCATGGAACAGTCACCCTGGCGACACACACGTGATAACACCCACTGCACACCGCACCCATTACCTAAGCACAGACACTGGGCACACAGGCAGCCACACGTACGCAGACAGCCAGGGGTCTGCACAGAGTGTACCGAGACACACACCGCGCAGGGCTGATCCGCGAGGCATGCACACTGCACCGGTGCATGCCCACCCAAAGCACACATGCAGTCCAGCACTGGGGCCACTCCACACGCCCCCATGAGCACACATAGAGCCCGGGCTCTGCCGCCCAGCCAGCCCCTCCCCTGCCCCGGCGGTTCCCTGTCAGCCCCTCTGCCCACCCCACGCCCAGTGGCTGGCGGCTGACTCAGTGCCTGCGTCTCTCGCAGGACGGCTCTGCCCCGCCTCTGCCTCCTCGGCCTTCCCTGATGCCCTCAGCCTCCTGCTCGGGTGATGCCGGCTCCTGCATTTTCCGTCCCTGGGCCCTGCCCATCATCTGGGGGCGTCCTGTCACCTGCCAGACCTTGTCTCCTTTCTCTGCCCCTGCCACACCCAGGATCCAGGCCAACTGTGACGCACAGGAGCTTTTGCCAGGCAGTGCCAGGGCAACTGTCCCCCAGCCTGGCCGCCTGAGTGGTCACCCTGTGAAATTGCAAGACAATGCAGGCGAGATCAGCTGTGATACGGCACAAACTCAAGCTGTAGTTTCTGTTGTTTTTTTCCAGAACCAAATCACAAACCGTGAGAGACCCACCAATTGTGTTCTAGAAAGTGGTAGCTATGGCAACAGAGCGAGGCATCCCATTTCTATGGCAACCAGGGTGGTGAGGCAGTTGGCTGTAAAGTCAGACAAACCTACTAACGATCTGTTGACTTAAGAAGATGTTTTATAAATCGCCAAGTTATTTTTACCATAACCCCGCCCCTGAAACCATAAATCACAAAGGCAATTTACTATCTATTAAAATGACCAATATGTGCGATGACTTTCATTTATGAATTATTTATGCCACAGTCATCCTTAGAAAAATGTGCTTCCTTTCAGGGCTGTGCAGGGGCTCGCTGCGGGGATCTGTGTTCTGTTTGGCGTCTCGGGAACAAGGAGATGCTTTGTGACATGGCGTGAAGACCAACATTCTGCTCTGGCCACTCACCTGCTGTGAGCCCTTGGCAAGTCACCTGACCTCTCTGGGCCTCAATTTCATCCTGAGTCAGGCACAGCTTGGACTGGGTCCCTTCTGTGCACGCCGAGGCAGGGCAAGGTTGCCGGCGCTTGGGGACACAGGACGGCCACTCAGGGGAGCCCTGGCTGGTGTCCAGACCCCAGGCCCCCAGAGGCTTCAGGTCAGTTTTTCCGCCCAATTAATCTGCCCAGCGGGAGTGTGGAGCGTGTGAGTTAATCCATGGAGAGTTAGTGATGCAGAGCAGGCGGGACGGCCAATTGTCCTAAATAAATTGTCAGTTGAGTTGGGCTGGGAAACTGAATTAGACTCTGTCTGGACTTCCTAGGGCTGGGCACGGGCTGGTGTGCTGGG